CGATGCGCGCTTGCTAACGAGCGGAGGCGCCGCCAGGGCTGCAGCCTCCCCTGGCTTCAGCCATCTCCGCGCGCTTGCGGCAGACGGGGCCAGACAGTGACTCAGCAGAGCGACGGTGCCGTCGCTAGTGACGCAGGCCCTCGCACTGCTCCCGCCGCCCCCGACCACGACCCCGACGTGGAGCGCAGCAGGGCCAGCGCATGGCACAGCACTGCTGCTCCCCCCGCACTGCACCTTCCCCGGGGCCGCGGGCAGCGGGGCGCAGTGCAGCGTGGCTCCCCGAGCAGGAGGAGCGCGCGTCGCTGCCCGTACAGGGGGCGCATGGGAAGGCTGCCTGGTCCCTGGGGTGCTCAGGCCACCGCCTGGCCACCCCTGAGGAAGCCCCATCCCCTGCAGCAGACACCGGCCCCACAGCCCTGGCACCAGCGTCCTTCCACAGGCGTCCCCGCCCAGCCCCTGGTGCACGAGGACTCGGGCTTTGAACACAGCTGGGCGCTACCCGGCCCAGCCTGGCCTGTCAGCAGCAGCAGAAGAGGTGCTGTGCGAGAGCATGGCCCGGCGAAGTGGCCCAGAGCGCCCCCAGCCTGCCCCCACGGCTGAGTGCCAAGTGCCCCTCTGTGCACCGCCACCCTCCGCGAGACTGCGGAGGTGCCCTGCCCTGCGGTGCCCTGCCCTGCTGGTGCTCTCCGCGCAGGGCCGAGTGCTGCAGGGAGGTCCAGGGAGACGAGGCTCGGTCCTGAGCTGGCCCCGTGCCTCGGGCCCCACCGTCCAGCAGGGAGCTGGGGCAGTGAAGCCCAGCACCTCCTCCCGGAGGAAGGCCAAGGCAGGCTGCCCCGGAGCCAGTGTCCAGAGTCACACCTTGCAGATAGCGGGTACGCCCCAAGCCGGGGCCAGTCCAGCTGCACAAGTGACCAACGACACGGAGCTGCTACAGAGGCTTCCACCTCCCCCATGACAAACAGATGTGGAGCCTCTTTGGGGACCTTATGGTCAGCGCGACCTTGGTACCAAACCAACCCAGCATGGGCCAGTCCTTCCGTTTCACCAAAAGCAACAGCCTTGGGTGCCGGCGCCCGTCGGGCTGAGCGGGACGCGTGGCACGACACACAGCAGATGCATTCCTCCGGCAGGCTGCGAGCGTGCCCGGCGCAGGGCCCATCACCGCGCTGTGGCTCGTGGCAGACAACCCGCTTCCGAGGCACATGGCTTCTTGCCACCGTCCTGCCCCACGGCCACTTGCAGCTGCTTCCTGGAAGGCTCCACGCTGCCGTCTCTGGCTGCCAGCAACCGCGCCACGTGCCGGTGTTGTTCCCTCAGGGCTCGCTCCTTCCCAGATCACTCGTACGTTGACGCGGTAGCAGGCGTGGCACCCCGAGGTGCCCCGCCGGCCTCCTGGCTCCCAGGGGCGCGGCGCAGCACATGAGCAGGTCCTTGGCGGAGTACGGGGAGTCACTGCACCAGCGTGTCAGTCTAGCAGCTGCATCCAGCCTCCTGCAGGCTCCCGAAGGGCTCGGGACAATCTTGCGGGGGATCTGTCCTCTCTCGGGCAGCTCCTTGCGGGGCATTCGGCAGGCATTGAGCCCCGTGACACCAGGGTTCAGGGAGGAGGAGGGGAGACGGGGAACAGCTTCAGGGGAGGTTCAGGCAGAGCATGGAGGAGGGGGAGATGTCCGTTCCCTTCTGTGCATGTGCATGTGCATGGCTCGGGTTCCCCGTCCTTGCTAGGCTGGTGCGCACCGGTGGTGGTGAAGGTCATGTCTCTGTTCCGGGGTCACGATGGCCATCTGGGTGGGTGCAAACGAGGCAGCACGGCTGTCCGGGGCACACAGGGTCCTCAGTGGGACAGGGACGGACAAGGACAGGCCGTTTGTTTCTAATGCCTGGAAGCGGTGCGGTGGTGACTGTGGGGACTAGCCTGATGGCAACTGGAAACAAAGGACCGAGATCCTGATGTCCGGGGCTGGGTGCCCCGGGCAGAGGGAGGGAGATTACGGCGCTAGGGCAGAGAGGGGGCCGGGAGGGAGGTCATTCGGGAAAGTGGCTTTGCCTTGCCGTCGTGACTGCGGCGCCCCTGGGTTTCCGGTTGCCCCATGGGGTGCCAGTTCGCTCGACGGAGCTTTCCAGCGCGGCTGCAAACTGCAGCTTGCAGCACAGCCCAAAGGGAACGTGGTTACCGCTTCCTTCTCACCTGCAAGGTGGGTCCTGTCATGCAAAGGGCGCCGGCACAGTGCACCCGCACAGACATCACACCTGTGACATCAGCGCACGAGCGCAATGCTCTGACCCGCACAAACGGTCTCTAACAGCACCCAGGTCTCGACTTCGTGTCACCTGAACCACGGTGCCACAGGACGAGGCTCACAGACAGCCCTGCTGCCACCCGCGCTGCTTCCCACCCCGCCTGCTCCCGGGACCCTGCCCTCCGACGGACAGAAACCTCCTGTCTTCCTGCCCGAGCCTGTGCACGGCCAATTTACTCCCATTTGCTCCTGTCCGACAGTCCTTCAGCTTCAGCAGCTTGCTACAAACGCGGCCTTGTTTAGCGCTCTGCAGGCCGAGGGCAAAGTGGGTCCACGGTCCGCCCTGGAGACTGCTCCTGCTCCTGCTCCACCCGCACGGCAGCTCCTGTCACCTCCGCA